CTAATTATTTCTAAATTTTTCAGGTTTGTTTAAAAATACATGCATAAATTCCTTTGGAATAAAAATAGTATGAACAGGATTGATATTTATCAAGGTTTGAGATTTTGTAACAATAATAACAATAATATTATTTTATATTTTATAGTACAATCGTTAAGTTGAAATATTTAAAAAAAAAAATATTTATTCTAAAAAGAATTCATTTTAAAAACACTATACTCACAAATCATGTGATTAATCACACACCTGTATTAATCCCATGAATAAAGAAAGGTTTATCGTTTATTAGTTAAAATGAATTATGACTCTTACCCATGTATAATAGGTATAATATAGTTTGTGTGAAAAAAAAAAAAAACAAAAAAACAAAAGATCAGACAATCTAGCGAAAACGGAAAGTATAACAAAATCCGATGACTTATACTTAACGAAGACGATCTTATTATATATTTTTAATTGTTTTTTTTTTTTTTTTTTTGTAAAGTATGAAGTATGACATGTCTTATGCTCAACTATGAATTCCATAAATCCACTGTGATCAAATCATCAATTATTAACCAAAGATAACTTTAATTTAATTCAAGACAGCCATCTTATTGATGCCTGGTATAAATATTTGTAAACGTAAAAAAGACTTGGCATATAATTAAATGCTATGTGATATATTTTTGTCCTAGTGTGATATTAGTGATATATAACGAAAGATAATTTCAAATATGTACATATAAAGAAATAAATAGACACAAATAAATCTATATGAACATTACTTTAAAAATTTAATAAATACATGTTATTTAAACTTCTAATATACATCACTTATACTCAACTTTATCCTCCACATAAATTTACATATTATTATAAAATATAATAATCATTACCCTTTGCGGTACTTTAAAAAAGATCGTAGTAATTTTTTTTTTTTTTTTTTAAAGTATTGTATTTTTTGCTTATCGTTATTGATGCGTAATACCTGTATTAGATAAATAAACAAATATAAACTCAGATACGTATAAATTTACGGTTGTCAGCCATGAACTTGATGCATTCCGATTCCCGACTTTTTCAGTTTTTTTTTCTCTCGCTCTGAAATATTCATCTTTCGCCTCTTTTTTTTTCTTTTTTTTTTTTATACATATTCCGTGTGTAGGGAGCCATATAAATATTTTTTTTCTTTTTGCTATTCATACTTTGTCATGAGCGTTTTCGACACGAAACACCGGCTCTCCCTTTGAATCGATTTTATTTTTATTTTTTTGAAATATAAAAATTTTTTAATTTTTCATTCTCGGCATTTTCATCTTTATCAAAAAAAGTATATTTTTTTTTTTTAAAAAAAAAAAGACTGCATGTCAAAAATTTTCAAGTCCTTTAATACATGTCGCGGCACCATAACAGTGGTAACGCTTCTCAACAACAGTCTTATTCTATACCATCTATAAATATTGGAAGTAACTCTCCACCGTTGTCTATCGCAACATCTAATATTTCAATATCTTCGCGTTCTCGATACGAACAACAGGAACCTTATCAACCTTTACTTACTTCTCCTAAAATGACTACACATCCAACTTTACCTCCCATCAGCGCTCTCTCATGTGATTTTTTACCACCATTATTGTCATCAAGTCAACAAGGAAATAGTTCTTTTCATTATAGAAATCAAACAAATGTTGATAGACATGAGCCCTCTCGTTATATGAGTGGCGGTGGTAACGGTGGTGGTTTACTTTCCTTAAATTCTCAGTCGGCTCCTTCCACACCTTATCCTTCTCCATCTCCTTATTCATATTTGACGTCGCCTCTATCAACACAGCCACCTCCTATTCCACAACAATCTTATTATCAACCACAGCAACCACAAAGATCTCCCCCTACTTCTTATTATCCTCAACCAAATTATTCTTCTTCTTACCCCCCAGCATATCAAAGACAATCAACTCCTCCTCCAGTTCAAACTTCATCACGAAGACAACATCATCATCCTTCCTCACATTATTCTCCTTATAATATGCCACAAATTTCTCCACAAAGTACTCATTCTCATCCACCTTATACACAACCATCTCAACCTTCTTCACATATGCAACAGCATGGTATTCCACCAATACGTCCTTATCAAAGAAGTCATACTTCTCAAACAGTTATTTCTGAACCTTTCGTAACTGTTACACCTGAATTAAATAATAGACCGCCCAGGCGGCGTAGGAGACCTCCTTTTTCTTATTCTTCATTAATAGCTCAAGCTATTTTGGATTCTCCTGATAGAAGATTAACGTTACGTGAAGTTTATCAATGGATAATGGAACGTTATCCACAATTATACAAAGCTGATGATACTGGTTGGCAGGTAAATTTTATTTAAAAAATTATTAATTTTTTAATTATATTTATTATTAAAAGATTTTCTAAAATAAATTTCCTTTTTTTTTTTTAAATAAATTAAAATAAATTAATAAATTCAATAAAAAAAAAAAAAAATTTAATAAATAAATAATTATTTAATTATTTAATTATTTAATTCTTAATAAATAATTCAATAATATATATATATATATATATATATATAGAATACGATTCGTCATAATCTGTCATTAAACAAATGTTTCAAAAAGGTTCCTCGCTCAGATACTGAATTGGGTCATTCTACATCTTCATCAGCCGCAAGTAAAGGTAAAGGAGGTTATTGGACAATTGACCCGGAATATATGTCTGCTTATCATGATGGTGTATTCGCAAGAGGTGGAGTACAAAAGCGTAGACCTGGTGAAGTTGGTTTACATTCAGGAATTAATAATACGGGAATGGGTGATGATGATAGTGCTGGAAGTGATACTTCTCCATCTGATAGTTTGGGTGGCAGGTTAGTTGATGTGGATGAAGATGGTGAGGGTGGTTATCATTATCATCATCGTATTCATAATCATAATAATCATAATGGAACTATGAGTGGTGTTCCAGGTGATCGAATGCCATCATTACATGTATCAATACCACCTGTAATATCACCCCAATCTTCTACTTCTTCATCATTAATGACACCACCACCAACAGCATCATCTATAACATCTAACAAGCAAAAGAAAGCATTTTATAACAAAAGACATTCATCAGAATCTAATTTTAGTAATATGGGTTCATCACCATCACAATCACCCTCTGGTTTCTCTAATTCTAGTGGAACTTCGGGTAGATATGATGTATTTCATATAACAGATTTATCGGATGTAAATAATTCGAATAGAGAAATATCACATTATTCGACTAATAATAAAAATGGGGGAACTGGTTCAGAGTGGAATTCGAATGCGAATGATTCATCATCATCATCAGTAAAAAGAGAATCAATAAATATGGACATTGATAAAAACGAAGAGGCACATTCATCATCTTCATATTATTATGGAGGCCAACCTATGGAAAGAAATGGTTCACGAAATGTAACAGAACAACCATTATTAATGAAGCGAGATGGGGATTCACCGTTGCAATCTATTAAGCGAGAAGATGAAGAATCTAATTCTTCAATGAAAATAAGTGATTTATTAAATTGAAGATTTTGTATATCTCAAAAAAAATTAATTTCTCTTAAATTTTCATTTTCGGGATGATTTTTGGGAATGATTTTTGGGAATGATTTTTGGGAATGATTTTTGGGATGATTTTTTGGGAGATGATTTTTGGGGATGACTTTTGAGATGATCCTTTTTTTTTTCTCTTAATAAGATTATATTATCGATTAACTATATATCTCCTAATCTTTTAACCATTTTTTTAAAAAAAAAAAAAAAAAAAAATCCACGCAATTTATTATATTCAATCGAGATAAGTAATATATTAACTATTAACCCGATTTATTAAATTTTTCCTATTTATCATTTTATCACGAAATTTCGACATCATTTATCGCATTAGGTTAAAAAAAAAAAACAAAAACAAAAAAAAAAATTCGTAAAAAAATAATGTAGCTTCGATTATCATTTCTTTGTTGTGAATTTCAAAAAATATATTTTTCGTGTATATACCTTTTTGATTGACATATATTTGATATATATTTGATATATATGATACATTTTTCTTTTTAGTTTTCTTTGTCATATAGTGTCTGATAAGTTTTTCTGGAATTGGGTCCGTTTTTTTTTTTAATTTTTTTTTTTAACCTAATGCGATAAATGATGTCGAAATTTCGTG